AGGACTGAGTGCCAGCTGCACCCAGAGCGCTCTGCAACACATGCACTTCCCCTGTGTAGTTTTTTTAATGTAAAAGGGACCGGAATGGAAAAACCTGAGGCAAAGCCCTGCCAGCTCACAGGTTCCCCTGCATCCTATCATCCGTTTCCATCTCTGCTAGCTGCCTCCTCAATGCATTAACCTTTGCTTGAAGTTCCTTGTTGTATTTTATAATGTTGATCATTTCTTCATGGGCTTCATCCAAGAACTTGGAAGGCCTGTTCCACCGAAGGAAGACACCTGCAAGCCCAGAGGCAGCACAAGTCAGAAGGGTTTCTTGTTACAAGGAGGAAGCGTTAATTCATATTCCATCCGCTCTCAAGTAGCGTGCATGCAGTTTACACATTTTTTCCTTATCCTCCCTGCTAAGTAGCATTCAGAAATACCGACTCTCCAAGTTCACCATTCTATTAAACAAGGTTAATAAAGAAGAAGTGAGGGGTTTTCATTCCTTTTTTCTCATATGCTGATCAGACCAATCCATATTCAGTCTCCACCCTGCCACCACAGCCTGCTTGTTTCTCTGTAATTAACTCTTCAGCACACATGGGATGGAGGAAGTTTCTGCACACAGATTATCCTGGCCAGCACAGTTGGTAATGGAGAAAGGGAAGCTTTGGTTGATATAGAACAAAAACCTTAGGCCTGCAGAATGTCATAGATTCGCCCATATCACGGCAGAATACTGTGCTGAGAAATTAAGTGGTACCAGAAAGGCTCCCTGGCAAAGAGCAGCGTATCACCAGACCTCAGAAGGAGAAAGCGTTATGCCTCTGGGGCCGGTACATGCCAAAAATACTTTGAAACAGATTTCAAAGGGAGCGAGGTCGCCATCACCTGAGATGGCCTAAGCACGGAGCAGAGAACACAAGTGAACACTTACAAAGCTCTATGAGTAGCCACAAAATACGTATTGCCAGTAACAGAAAAAGCAAGCCCGGCTTACCTTCCCAGAGCTGCAGGCTCTGTGGGGCAACGGAGGGCCAGATGACAAGGCTGTTGGCCTCAAAAAGAGGATTCTGGAATTTGCTCAGCTCTTCAGACCTGTTCACCCAGGACCACAGGGACATAGTCTTTTGTGGCAGCTTCAGTTTAGACCTAAGAAGGCCATAGGAACCGGTTAGCTTTCACTTTTACACTGTAAAGACTAACTTTGTTTTGTCAGAACCTGCAGACTAGAATGCCACAAGCTTTCCCATGTCCGACTAGCCAAGACAATTCAGGCTGATCCCTTCAATACATCTCTCACCAACATGGCACCGGGTGTAAACCTAAAGCAATTCACTCAACCTGGCCAATTACAATTAGTTTTGAAGAAAAGATGAGGAAATAACATTTATAAGTTGGGTGGAAGTTAGCTGCCTTCTGTCCAGATGAAGAATCAGTCACCTTCCCAAGGCGGTTCGACTGCCAGGTCTGGAAAGGGGCCGAGCTCCTGTGTGAAGACAGAGCTGGGAGGTGTGGTAGGGCTGCAGCGAGGCCGGATCCCGGATCGCAGTGCAGTCCTCAGAGGGCATTCACGCAGTGTTATCCCTGGAGTTGTGCAGTAGGCACGTCTGATTAGGTCCCTCTGGTGGCAGGAAGCATCCAAACACAGAGAGAAAAATCGGTGCTGGTTTCCTTGGTCAAACCCACCTCCAGGAGTGACACGGGGGTCTCCATTCCTTAGCTCCTGGCAAACCTCATCCTGCATGCACTAGCAAATGGAACTGCCACCCAGGCAGGAGATCCACCACCCCTGTGACTGCTTCAGACAGCACAAGCTTAACATCAGACTTCAAACATTTTCTGTGCTCGCAGGCTGACATGTTGAGATGTGACAGGCAGGTTATTACATGTAACATTCAATACTCTTTCAAATGTCATCTTATTGGTTTCAAGTCTAACTTGGTTTTGCAGATGACCAGTTCAGCAGCCCTAGGGAAGACAGAAGAGTCTCTTCTAAGCAAAGATTACGTTAAGGGCAGAGAGGTTTATAGGGAGTTTTAAATTGCTTTCCTTATCTGTACTATCAGCTCTGTTTTTCCTTTCCACTCATTCAGTGGTCTTCAGTTAACCAGGAGACCATCGGACACGACCTTACTGGAGTCAGGAGTCCTGGGAACAGAACTGCCAAGTTCAAAACAGGGATCCAGCCCTCTCTGGCAGCTGCCGTGGGAAGCTCCTGGCCTCCACCCTGTTTACTCCTCCAAGCTGCCCTACTCAGGGCATGCCTAGAGCTGCCCCACTGGTACAGCACTGCACCTAACCCAGGCGAGGATTCAGAAGCTAGGTGTTGGTCTGCTCAGTAACTTCAATGCCACAAGCTTGCAAGCAAGCTTAGCACAGGCTTATCGTTACCCGGCAAGGTCCACTCCAGCAGGATGCAGTCCTGGCTGCTTCCTTTCAAAGTGGCACGAGCATCCATCTGAGAGTTCATAGCATTTGTTCAGAACCTCAGCCAGTGCAGACTGCCAATCACACTTGGTCCTTCTGTCGAAGTTGTACTACTCCACGGCCAAAAGGCCTCAAACCTAGTTGTAACGCTCAGAGTCAAACAAGTAAAGCTTTAGCCAAGGTGTAACTGTGAGGCAGATCCTTCTGACAGAACATCTTCCACGGTTTCCACTTTCAACAGTTAGTGGATGATGCAAAAACCAAAGCCCTCCTTTCCTGGGGGAGTCAGAACCACCAGGCTACAGAGTCATGTTCCTCCCTGACAGTTAGGGTAAGAACCAGACTCTCCAGCTTTGGCCTCCGACTGCCCTCACCTTCTCCTCTAGGCCTGTCTGGAGAAGCTTGCTTCCCACAGCCATGACTCACATCATCGCTGATCTCTAGCTGTTTATTCTGTTATGGAAAGAGTTTCTATGCAAGAGACTATATAAACCAGTGATGGGTGGAGATTTTTCAAGGCCACACCAGGAAACAGAAAAGACAGCCTAAGGTATTTGCTTGGGCTTGGAGAAGACTAATTCAACTCCCTGCCCAAGCCACAAATTGCCTTTGTCACAATGTCCCACTTCTGAGAGGGACAAGCTCCCTAACATTGCAGCAGACGACAGAACTGCAACCAGAGAAGCTCATCTGTGCCAGGGGAGACCACACAAGCACCCTCACCCTTTTTCAAACAAAAGACTTTTTTTTTTTGTCAGACACAGCCTGGTATTTAAAGGGTTTAAAAGCAAGCATCCTCACCAACCTTTCGTTTTCATTGTTTCCCAGGAAAGTCCCAAACTGTGAAGCTTATGCGTGTTCGAAGAGCATGATGAGGAACTGTTCGTTGAATTCAAATGAGCAAGGGAACTGACGAAGGATTTGCCACACACAGTCCAAAAAGAGGAGAAACACTGGGGCCTCCCATTTCTGCTTGCTATTTGAATAGGCCGATTGGGCACAGCGCTGCTGGAAAGGGTGACCAGCCTATAGATGAGAAACAGAGAGCATCACGCACAGAGTAAGGGGTGTGAGTACACGTAGCAAAGACTTCAGAGCTAGTTCTGTCCATGCAACTGTGCTTTTACTACTCTTTTCTACAATGGTAATTTTGTCAAGCATCCAACAACAAATTGCTAGTAACCACGACCAACTTTGCTGCCTTTTTCAGGCTGTGTAAACTGCCCTAGTGAGGCCCCATCTGGAGTACTGTGTCCAGTGCAGGGCTCCCCAGTTCAAGAAAGATGCGGAGCTACTGGGGAGAGTCCAGCGGCGGGGTATGGGGGTGACTGAACATTGCTCCTTTCTGAAGTGGTGGCGTGTAAACAGTTTGCAAACTCTTCTTGCACTGAGTGTACATTGCATGAATACAAGGGATGGGCTTGCTTACCCAGGCAGTCCTTTCTGATGTCTCCCCGACAGTGTACGTGGCCCTTCCATAAAACCTAAGTGTCCAATATTAAAGTCACTCTCGTTGCATTCATTCCCCTAGAGCCAGGAAATTTTCAGTGAAGAGAACTCACCTGTAACTTGTCCCCAAATGAGAGCTTGTGGATGACGTGAGTCATGTCAGGATTCTGAGGCTGTGCAGTGGCACTGTGCGTTGACACGTGAAAGTTACCAGGGACCTAAAATTAGTCAAGACAAGGAAGACGCGATTTCACATTTTATCCCTCGGAGGGTTGGACTGGGTGACCCACAGAGGTCCCTTCCAACCCCTACCATTCTCTGATTCTGTGTGATTCTGTAAATAGCCCTGTACTGGATCAGAGAATTTTACCCCAAACAAGCTGGCGTAGGTGCACTGAAGAACCAGGCTGAGGATATTAGCTGCAAGAGTACAAAGACTGGAACTACGGTTCTGTCTTCTAGCCTGGACAGTGTTTTCTAAAGCAATGTTCACCCTGAGCACACGAAACAGGCAGTTCCCCAAAACCAAAGGGCTACCACGAGAGGCAGAGGCCCCGTGGAGCGTCAGAGGTACAAACGTCTTGGTTAACGACACTGCTCTTAGGACAAAGGCCATTCACGCTACGCAGGGCTGCAACGAGGCCCAGGCTGTTCGCTGCCTCTCAGGCTGTTCCTCCACACAGCTGTCACCGGAACAGATTGTCGTTCTGTCCACGGGCACCTCTTACCTGCAGCCACTCCCTCACAACAAGGGATTCAAAGCCACGTATGGTCCTGCACCTTGGATCCAAGATAATCTGTGCCAGAGAGGTTACCTGGAGAGTGGAATCGGTTCCTTCAGTCCCATGGACTAACACCGATGCACCTTCCCTGCGAAGGAAAAGGTGGAAAGGAATAAGAGTGTGAATGAGCAGGACATCCCAAGGACGTATGCATCCCAGCAGATGACAACGCATCCCACAGACACCTGTGTTGCCACCCTGACAATGCTGAGGTTGTGTTGGCTCTTTACACCTTCTTGCCTCCCATAAGCTTACTCCCCACCCCGCACAGAAGCATAGCACCTTCTCCACCTGGATCCTCACCACCACTAACTAGAGCTCCACATCACTACAGGCTGTTTCTTGCTAAGCATTCTGGAAACCCAGAACCTTTGCCGTGGTGACAGAAGACGTGCAGCGAAATGTCTTTGGTGGTTCTCACTATTTGGAATGGGTACTCCTTTGATTATGGCATGGAAATGCATCTCAGAATTTGCTTGTGTCATTGTTCTACTAAGCACTCTGAGATCTTTCCATAAGCACTGCAGTGAAGATACATCATCCCTCCCAGATGCTCTGCAAAACAATACTGCAAGAGTCTTGCTGAAACCTGGGCTTAATTGTAGTTGGGCCTCAACTGGGGTTTACTGCGAGAAAAGTAACCCAATAAGCCAGTTCAGGAGAAAGAAAGAACGAACGGCAGAGCTTGGCCTCCACAAAGGCAGAAGAGTTACTGTGCTGAGCAAGGAAGCTTGTCACAGAGCCAAGCACGAAGGCTTCTCACTCAGCAGCCAGCACAAGTGAATCAGCAGAACAGCGTGAGGAGCAGAGGGAGCTCGGAGGCTGGGGCAGGAAGGTTTTGCAGACTGCTAGGGGCCCACGGGCTGTCACTCCCCACATGCCAGTGGGGACTGTCCAGGAGAGCCAGTTCCCTCCTCAATTCCTCCACTCTGGGCTGTGTTTGGATACAATACCAGAATCTCATCCATGTGCTCCTGAAGGAAGGACTGGATAGTATTAAGTCGCATTTATTCCCCTTACTCTTCCCAAACCTTGACCCATCATCTCACTTCTCCCAACATCCTCACACCCAGAAAGGAAATGAACTGCAGGTTGTATTTCTTTCTGTGCAGAGACCCAACCTAAGCAGCACAGCGTTGGTAAGAACCAAGCAAGTAACCTTGCACAATTACAAAGGCTAGTAGCAAGCCTATGCACTCCTCAAAGTGGGGTACGCCAGGATAACTCTATTTTCCTCGTCATCCTTCAGGCCCAAGACCTTAAAAATGCTGCAAGACCTGTCCCAAGCATTCCCTCCCCACGGCTGATATAACTGAACCATCCTCGCTGGCTCAGCTCTGATCTCCAGGCTCTGACCAGGCACCAAGGCTGAGCTGGCCTGCCATAGCTTCAGGTAAACAGAAAAAGCAAAGCTGAGGTTAAAAAATGGTGAAATTGTCCACTATGCCAAGAAGCCAGAAGAGTTTCATCACTGATCTTTCTCACTACATGCACGCGGGAAATAATTACAGACAAAACCATCGATCAAGAGCAATCCTTTTCTGGCACAGTCAATAACTAAACAGGCACTGTCAGTGCTTTTAAAAAGGACAGCAGCTCGTATTTTAAAGCAGTAATGCTGTTTTACCAATAAGACTGCATTTCAGCCTACTTGTGCATCTGCACAACACATTCCCTAGCTGGTGTGAAAAGCCAGATTTTCCCTGAGTTTTGAGAAGGGCCTTCCCCTTCCAGACCCACAAGCAAATCACATTTAGACCCCCGCATTTGGTCTTACACACCCTGGCACCTGACAGCTGGCTTTTGCTCTCCAGCCTGAGGTCTGAAAACAAGTTAGCCAAGTCAGCAGCATTTATTAAAGAAATGTCAGGTTAAAGGAGGTCACAAGCACTTATAAGGGATGAACAGGAGTGCTTAGATAAGACTACGGGGATAAAAATTTCAAGGGGAATAAGCACTGGACCAATTCCTGGGGAAAACGAGGAAATGCCATTGTTTTAATCTCTGGAATGGGGTGGGGTATTGCAAACTTTCAGCTGAAAAAAAAACAACCCTTTTGTTTTTTTAAAAAAAATCCCATTATGTTCCCACTTTACTAGGCTAACAAACAGCATTTCACACAGGCACATTCTAACCTAAACCTTCAATAAAACTAAACTAGATTGGTTGCATCAGACACAGGACTATACCTTAACTGGATGATCCAATACCTATTCTTAGCCAAGATTTCCTTCCTCAGGCTCATACTTCTAAAAATGCAAGCATGATTTACTGAAGGAACATTCCTTAACCAGGATGAAACAGTATCTTGCATGGGTACAAGCAAGCCAGTGGCCAAGTTATTAATACTTAACGTGGAAACAGAGGTATTTAACACACAATCTGTAACGAGTGAATGAGAAACTCCAGGCTTTCTGAAAAAGATTTACCTATCAATGCACTGAGCAGCCAGACAAGCTGCAGTTAGTATCTCCTTGATGTGAGTCAGCCAGTTGGAAGCTTCCAGTTTACTGAGCCAGCGGTCCATATTGTGCGACTGGTCATTACAAGCTTCCACAAGTTTGATGAGGCTTTCCTGGAGAATATTAAACCTTTGGGAAAAGAAAAATATTATTGAAAATATAAGCAGTAGCACAGCAACCAGGACAACATGCTTACAGAAATACACAGATCTCAAAATAAAGCGCGCCGATGTATATGCCGTTATGTCAAGAAACGTGACCCTACAGAAGTCACATCTCATTCGGCAAACCTGATTACACCAAGAAAGCCAAGCCACGGCTAACTGCCAGCAGAATACCACTCTTTGGATATAAGTAGTCGCTTACAGAATCACAGAATGGTAGGGGTTGGAAGGGACCTCTATGGGTCATCTAGTCCAACCCTCCTGCTGAAG